TTGATAACTCAAACATTTCATCAGTATTATGAAAAAAGTTATTGTGTTTTTATGGTAATTTTATGATTATAATTTGAGGCTATTGATTATTTTTTGATAGATTTGTAAAGCAGTTAAAAATAAACGTAATACATAAAATTTTGGAGGTTATATGTATAACATTCTTTACTTGGAATTTTCTAATTTCTTATGTTTATATATATATATATGTAAAAAGAATATAATGTAATAAAATTCCAATTTTGTTAATAAAATTTTATTTATTTAGCATTTAAAAATGGCAAATAAATATTGGTATAAACAACAAACAGAAAATAATATTAATTATAAATTGTTCTTTCGACAAAATCAATCTGTTTTCATTCGTGATGATTCATATCAATTGAATGCAATGGAAGTACATCAAGATTTAAACAGTTCATACATATTATGGCTAAAAACCCCTAAAGACATGGATCCTGATTTAGAGAGTGAAGACAAAGTATGGGTTCCATTGCTTCCTGGTTATTCAATTTTAACAAAAAAAAATAAGTTCATTCGATTATCAATTAATGTAAAAAATGACATAGAGCTGCAGTATACACTTGATAATTTTGAAGCTGATCACTCATTCACTAATTTGAAAGAAACAAAACATTATGATTATATGTTTACAACATTGAAAGATGAATTAGAAGTTAAAGGAAAAATCTCTATACCATCATTATTAGGATTTGACAATGCAGATAATGTTATCTATTTGCGTACAAAAGTAATTGAAAAATATTCATCCTTAATAAATTTTCCTGCACCAGTTGATTTAGATGAAGATACTAATCCAAAAATACTTGCAGCCAAAAAAACAAATGAAAGAGCAACGAAAGCTATGAAACGTAAAGGGAATGAGATTAGTAATACTGCATTAGAAAAAAATGTTCAAAAAGGAGTTCATGTTAATTCTAAGGGCTTACAATTGTCTCCTAAAAGTACTCAAGCTCTTTTGGTATCTAACAATGGAAATGTACTCGAGTTATATCAAGCAAGATGTCAAATAAAAAAAATAAAAAATAAACTAGTCAACACGTAGTGAAAGGGATAAAGTAGAAGAAGATGATAATAATAATAACACAAATCATCTGGAAAGTAAAGAAGAATTGGAAAATACTGTTAATAAGATAATTGATGATAATAATTTAGGTTCAACTATATTTATGTCCACTGAGAATTATTTGAAATTGTTACTAACATTTCCTTGTAAGCAATGTGGAGAATCCAAGGTAAGCTGCAAAAGATGGGAAGTCAAGGCCTGGGGTCTTTATTTGAATGTTGCAATTTATTGTAGAATATGTAAGTATTCAACTGAGTTTACCAATGAACCAGATTGCATGAGTTACTCTAAAACTTTAGCTGCAACAGGATTAATAGCTGGATTAAATAGAAGAGAGTTGGAAACTGGATTGGCATTTATGGGAATTACTTCTCAATCTTGCTCAAAGTCATATTTTCAGTACCAAGGGGATTATTATGATCCAATTAAAAATATGGCAAGAGAAGTAATATCATCAGCTTTGAAAAAAATCTCGCACAATAACAAAGGAAGGAAAAAATATAACAACCCATGAAGGTAATTTTGATCAATCATCACGCCAAATGGAACATCAAATTTTGATAGATATTTTAGAAGAAATCACTCCAATTTTCAGAGAAAATAATCTTCTGCTTGATATTGCCATTGATGGTGATTTAGATAGCAATAAAACCTTATCAAAATATAATATTGTAAACCAAATTTTTACTGACTTAAAGCATAAGACAAAAACAATTAGAAATAAGATAAATAATGGTAAGTATAAAAAATGGGAAAATTTTGAAAAATGCATTCTTGATTATTATTAGTGATGATAATCATGAATATTCATGAATAATATGAATAATATGCATATTCATGAATATTTCCTAAAATAGCAAAGATAAACAAATTCTGATTGGCTAATAATTTATTAATTTAAATTACAATTAGTGATGATTTAATGATGATAATCATGAATATGAATATTCATGAATATTCATGAATAATATGAATAATATGCATATTCATGAATATCCATGAATATTTCCTACAATAGCAAAGATAAACAAATTCTGATTGGCTAATAATTTATTTATTTAAATTAATTTAAAAAATAATTTATTCACGATTTAAAAAATAAATCAAAAAAATAATAAATAATAATAATAAATTTATTCACAATAATGTTTATGAAAAAATATTATATAATTATTGATATAATATTATTTTAATCAAAAATAGAAAAGGTCTTCATGTTTCTTTTTAGAAACAACAATTCAGAAATGGTTTTTGAAGACAATCTATTTCTTTTATTTGTGATGTGGTTACCAACATCAGAAAATAGTCTTTCTGATGGAACAGATGTTGCGCTTAAACATAAATATTTATTTGCTAACACTGCAAGAGTTGGTAAATCATTTTTTCTTTCCTTCCACCAAGCAAGTGGATCAACGTTGCCAGCAACATTTGCTATGCTTGAATATCTTGTCAATTCATCATAACTGATTTGTTGTGTAGTAATATTCAATAATTCGTCAAAAATGGTATTTTTTGATGGATTTGTTTGTATTACTACAGCTGATCTTCTCAAATCTAAATTTAGATTTTTTTCTTCAATTGACTTAATTTCTTCCGATAATACTTTATATGTTGCATCATAACGATGTAATGCAAATGTTAATGATTTAAATCTTGGATCCAAAGCAGAGGCCAAAAGTCCTATTTGTGGAGTAACTGACCAATAATTTATTAAAGAACTATATAATGCATTAAGTATTTACTCGAGTTATATCAAGCAAGATGTCAAATAAAAAAAATAAAAAATAAACTAGTCAACACGTAGTGAAAGGGATAAAGTAGAAGAAGATGATAATAATAATAACACAAATCATCTGGAAAGTAAAGAAGAATTGGAAAATACTGTTAATAAGATAATTGATGATAATAATTTAGGTTCAACTATATTTATGTCCACTGAGAATTATTTGAAATTGTTACTAACATTTCCTTGTAAGCAATGTGGAGAATCCAAGGTAAGCTGCAAAAGATGGGAAGTCAAGGCCTGGGGTCTTTATTTGAATGTTGCAATTTATTGTAGAATATGTAAGTATTCAACTGAGTTTACCAATGAACCAGATTGCATGAGTTACTCTAAAACTTTAGCTGCAACAGGATTAATAGCTGGATTAAATAGAAGAGAGTTGGAAACTGGATTGGCATTTATGGGAATTACTTCTCAATCTTGCTCAAAGTCATATTTTCAGTACCAAGGGGATTATTATGATCCAATTAAAAATATGGCAAGAGAAGTAATATCATCAGCTTTGAAAAAAATCTCGCACAATAACAAAGGAAGGAAAAAATATAACAACCCATGAAGGTAATTTTGATCAATCATCACGCCAAATGGAACATCAAATTTTGATAGATATTTTAGAAGAAATCACTCCAATTTTCAGAGAAAATAATCTTCTGCTTGATATTGCCATTGATGGTGATTTAGATAGCAATAAAACCTTATCAAAATATAATATTGTAAACCAAATTTTTACTGACTTAAAGCATAAGACAAAAACAATTAGAAATAAGATAAATAATGGTAAGTATAAAAAATGGGAAAATTTTGAAAAATGCATTCTTGATTATTATACTGCATGTGTATATATAGCAAGTAATCAAAAAGATAATTATGATGAAAAATCTATTGAAGAGAAGAAAACATTACCTTTACCTCCTGATGATGATAATTTACATTATATGCAAACTGAAATTTTGTTTGAACATTTGTGTGACAAGCATGATAATTGTTGGGAAGAAGTTTGTTGGAAAAGCAAAAATCCAGAAATAGAATTGCAAGGTGAAAACTTAATTCATTATTCTGAAATAGAAAGAGGAATTTTCAAAAAAATGATCCAAGACATTATCAAAACACGTACTTGCCATAATGAAGCTATGAATCGTACCAAGTTATGTTTTCTTGATAAAAAAATTGATTATCCAAAATCATTTGTTGCAAGGCATTCCATGGCCCTTTTACATAATAACCTTGGTGAACTTGAGACTTGGACTCAAATGCGCAATTCATTAGGTGAAATTGGGTCTTTTTCTATACAAGATTTAAAAAATATAGAAAAAATATGTGAACAACGTGATGTTAAAAGAGAAGAAAATGTAAATAATATAAATGAAAGAAATTCAAAAAAACATGATCAATTGGATCAGTTGAAATATGATATGACTGGATTCAACTTTAATCAAGATTTAATTCCATATGGACTTAAAGTACAAGAAAAATTAAACAACAATGAGTTTCTCCCTTCATTTCATGAATACATTTATAACTTTAAATCTCTGATCAAATGCC